CTGCGTCCTTGACACTTGAGGTATCTTGGTGCTACACTGTTGATCATGGCTATGAGGCGGGGCAGCAGGTTTACGTTGGTTAAAATCTGAATGTTCCCAACCTGATTCAACCCACCATCTTCAATTCCTTTCTTTCTGCAAACCTACCTCCAAAATGTCCTCCAGAATTGTACGCGTAGGTGTGATCGGGTGCGGAGAGATCGCCCAGGTAAGCCAACTTAATTCAAGGAGCCGTACTCATAATCTGATCAATTTAAAGGTGGCGCATATTCCTACGTTCAATCTGCTGTCTGACTACTTCCAAATCACCTACCTCTGCGACATCTCGACGAATGCCCTCGAGCATTGCAAGCGAAAAGTCACCGGCCCTCCTCCAAAGATAACAAAATCTGCCGACGAGCTGTGCAGTTCGTCTGAGGTTGATGCAGTTTTAGTCTGCAATGCTTCAATTTACCATACCGAGCATGCGATTCTTGCTCTTGAGAACGGCAAATTTGTCCTGGTGGAGAAGCCTCTTACGAGTTCCTACGAAGACATCGACAAGCTTCAGGCTGCAGAAAGAGCATCTAAGGGTCGACTGATGGTGGGATACATGCGACGGTATGCACCCGGCTTTCTTGATGCCATCACAGAGATTGGGGGAATATCCCAAATTCAATACGCGCGAGTCCGTGATATCATTGGGCCGAACACTACATTCGTTGGACAATCAGGAACATTTCCGAAGCGCTTCGATGATTACACCCCTGAGGATTCGCAGGCCCTAGTAGATAAGGATCGGAAGGCTGCAGATGAGACCCTCTCAGCATATGGGGTTCCTGCCAACGACCATACACGCCGCATGCTGATGGTGTTAGGGGGCCTAGGGACTCATGACTTCTCTGCTATGCGCGAGGCAATCGGAATGCCAAAGAGCGTCAAAGCCGCCATTTTGACATTTCCGATCTGGACGGCCACCTTTGACTACGGCACATTTCCCGTTGTTTATGAGTCCGGGCTCAATCAAGTACCTGTTTTCGACGCCCATATCGAAGTATATGGATCGGACAAGATTGTCCGCGTCAATTACGATACTCCCTACGTCAAAGGCCTTCCGACAACAATGACTGTGCGCGAGAAGACGACCGGGCCGCGGGGTGAGGATTGTTACCAGGAGCGCTACGTCCGTACTACCTACGAGGACAGCTACACTGCAGAATTCAAGGTGTGGTACGAGTCAATTGTCAATGGCCAGCAAAGTAAGACGACAATTGAAGATGCGCGTCAGGATGTCAACATTATACAGATGCTTATGCGTGCTGGTTTTCGAGGCGAGTAGCTGGGTGTTAGCTGAAGCATCTTCCGGCAATACATAGATTTCAAATGGAACCGTTGCACTGGTGCGTTTTTATCAAAGCAGGACAAACACAAATTAGCAGCAAAGTCTCTCAGCTTTGGATTTCCTAGTTCATGAACGGTCACCATTTCAGGCCCAATGTTTCGGTTACAATCATCGCCGTCCTTCCCCGGAGCCAGGATTTAGCTCCATCCTACGGGGAGAGGCGGACTTTGAAGCTATCGCGAATTTTCATTCGCCTGCAAGTCTCCACCCCTCTCGTAAGGGCCAAATTCCATTCTTTCCCAGTCCCACAAGCTGGGGTTTCCCCACGGGGCGACAATTCATCTTGCTATCAGATCACAAGCCTTGAATTCGAATCGCCTGGCCATAAACGATCCCGCTTTATGAGCCTTGTCATGCGTTTGAAGATTTAAAGGGGCCACCACCTCCTCTTCGCTTTCTGATGGACATATTCGCATATTATCTTAAACCAGAAAATGGGTTACAAAGACATCCAGAAGAAGTCCGTCGGTCCTGAACTAGCCAGGCTCCTCCCCGATGATGGCACTCCCTTCTGGAGGAAGAAACACCTGCTCCGTCTCAACCTCTCCCTATTCTGTCTTTTTCTCCTATCTGCTTCCGATGGTTACGATGGCACCTTGATGAACGGGCTTCAGGCTCTTCCGCGTTGGCAAGAGTTTATGAACCACCCTACTGGCGCATGGTTAGGGTTTGTCAACGCCGTTACCAGTCTTTCAGCCTTCGTCACCTATCCCATCGTCGCCTGGTGCAACAATAATATAGGTCGGAAGAAGACCCTGGGGATCAATTACTTCTGGATCGTCCTAGCGGTGGCTCTACAAACAGCTGCAGACAATCCGACAACGTTTGTTCTAGGCCGATTCTTCATCGGAGTTTCAGCCTCCTTTACCTCAGGCTCTGCTCCCATCCTCATCACCGAGACAGCCTATCCCACTCATCGCGGCGTTCTAACCGCCCTATTCAACTGCGGCTGGCATGTTGGCTCCCTCCTCGGCGCCTGGACTATCTTCGGCACTCGCGTCGTAGATAACAGCTGGTCCTGGCGTATCCCATCCTTACTTCAGTGCGCCTTGCCCGTCATCGCCCTGGTGGGCTTTCTAGCAGCCCCCGAAAGCCCTAGGTGGCTCGCGTCCCAGGAGCGCCATGAGGAGGCCCGCGCGTTCCTCATCAAATACCACGCCAACGGCGACGAGAATTCGCCACTCGCTGAATTTGAACTCCGTGAGATTGTTAATTCCCTAGCCGTCGAAGCCCAGCACCGCAAATCCTCGTCATGGCTCGACATGTTTCGCGGCCGTGGAAACCTCCACCGCTCCTTTATCACCATCACCCTCGGCGTCTTCGCCCAGTGGAACGGCGTGGGAATTGTCTCATACTACCTCGCCCCTGTCCTGCGCAGCGTCGGTGTCACCTCCGTTTCCAACCAAACCATGATTTCGGGCTTTCTCCAACTCTGGAATCTCATCCTATCCCTCTTTGCAGCGTTCAACGTCGACCGCTTTGGACGCCGGTCTCTCTTCCTCGTCTCCTGCTTTGGCATGCTAGCATCCTACATTGTTATTTCGGGTCTCGCGGGCTCCTTCGCAAATACTAATAACGGCCCCACAGGGATAGCAGTCATTCCTTTCTTATTCATCTACTACGGCTTCTACGATATTGCCTTTACACCACTTCTCATGGCATACCCGTGCGAGATCTGGCAGTATAATCTCCGCGCGAATGGTCTCGCACTTGGAATGAACAGCACCCGTGTTGCATTGTTCTTCAATACATTCGTCAATCCAATCATCCTTGATGCGATTGCGTGGAAGTACTACATTGTGTACTGTGTCATCCTCGTGATTATCACCATCACGATCTGGTTCTGGTACCCCGAGACAAACGGATATACGCTCGAGGAAATGTCTGTGATCTTTGATGGTGAGACAGCAGATGAGAAGATCCCTCCTAGTGGTACAGTAGCGGAGGCAGAGGGGAAGAACGTTGGAACTGATATTGCGCATGTTGAGAAAGCGTGATTTTCGGCCTGGAGACATAGATGGGGCTACTATACTAGCCTACTTGTTGAACCGTATCTGTTATTGCATTCTTCTATCGTACCTAGTATCCTTATTTTTGATCAAGGTGTCCTTTCCAACCCACAAGTCCTCGTCTCATCATCATGCGTGCTCCATAGTACGACGTGCACGGTAAAGTGCGCACCTACGCCCAAAACAAGCTTATCGATATGCCACAAAAGGAAGGAACGACCACCGCTCCTTCCTTGCGAAGCTGCGATCTCGGTCCATCCCACTTGGGAAGGTACGATGGGGGCTCCTTCCCGCGCCGGTTCCTTGAGTGTCAACGCTACAGAAGGAAAGAGCGACTTGCGGCGCACCTTCCCCACGGAGCTGCGAGGGCTATACTTCTATCAAAGGAAGCTGCGGTGGAGAAGAAGTCAAGGTAGGAAGGAACAACCTGCATCGCACCTGCCGTGCGAACCTCCGACACATCGCTGCCTTGAAGAGGAAGGCAGGATGGAGGGTCTGAACATGACGAAACAGAAAGGAGCGGTCCATATCCATTCATGATCATGGATCATTTCCTCGTGCACAGTGAGTGGGGTCGCCACTTTCGTTGGTAGGGTGCGAGGGAAATATTTACAAGGAAATAACGACCTCATCGTGCCTTCTGTACGAGCCTACGGAAGGTGCGATGAACGCCCGGCTGTCATGAACGTCAAATTCGGAAAGCACGACCGGCGACATGCCATCTAGGAAGGTACGATGGGGGGATTTCCTGCAAATCGTAAGGGGGGGTCAGCTTGGTCGGAGCACCGGAGAAGCCCCGAGCCCACTTCTACTGAGATGACAGATCGGGCTCGGTAGAATTGCCGAAATATCGGAAGCTATTGATGCGGTGCTGGGGTTTCGGAGTAGTCCGTATATGCTCGGTTCTCGGTGATATAGCCGTGACAGCGAATTGCTACCGAATGTTCATTCAGGAGTTTGGTATGCAACTATACTGTGTGGTGGCGGCGAGTTGATGTTAGTTAGGGCTTCTAGACGAGGACTGTCGAAGTCGCAGCCAATATTCTGCTTTCACATCGTCGACAAACGTAATGGTTCTTGTTATTACCACTGGACTAGATAATATTTACTTCGGATAATCCGAGTGTTTACAAAGATTCTTGATGGGTTTGCGCACGCTCAAGTTGGACACATTATTTTGGCCTCATCAAGGTAGAATGAGTATATATATTTCAATGGAGAGCACGAGTACATCAATCAAGGTCCTATGGTCTAATGGTTATGACATCAGACTCTGATATCAATTTAGAGTCACATCTGGTAATCCCGGTTCGATCCCGGGTAGGACCTCTTCTTCTTTTTGTTTTTGAACTTTTTTCATCCGTTATCCAACTCAATTAGTTTTGTTTCTTTCTTTTCCGTCGTGCTTCTTATGTTCTCGCCATTATCATTCAATTTAGTCACTCACTCTGGTTTGTTTACGTTTCTCAAACTTTTGCGTGCCCAAGCAAGCAAGGTCCTGCGCACTGGACAAGCTACCCACCCTGTCGGCGCACGGGCCCACTTCCCTTCTCAGCTGTAGATTAGCCCTATCTGATGAAATTTTTGACCTCCGCCGAAACAACAATTCAGGTTGTATGGTCTAATGGTCATGACATCAGACTCTGATCCGTATTAGAGTCATATCTGGTGATCCCGGTTCGATCCCGGGTACGACCTTTTTTTGCTTCGCGATGGTTAAATATGGTGGTTGCTTGTAGGTCGGTGAGTGAGGGTTAGTTGGGCGTTGAAATGCAGTAGGGTGTGGTTATTTTTGCACTAGCCGGATTGTGTGCTAGGTGTTAAAGTGCGAGCGGGCTTCGAAATGTAAGAACTCGATGAGTACGGGCTACAGGGAATCCGGAGGGATATTGTCTAAGGTTGTATGTATGCCCCTTAAATTTTGCGAAGGCCAGTTGGTGGCAGTATGCCCGCAGTGTATAGATTCAAGTTTTGTCTGTGGTGCTCCCTTTGGGCCGAACGCTACCAACGGGGACTTTCTGTTGATACCTCCAAATTCATCAGGCATATAATCTGCACTTGAGCACGGGGTTTGCGGCCATTGCTATTTTGAAAACGGTTTTGTGGGGTGCGTATCTCTGTCTACGGCGGCCCGATGATGCCCACGAGATCGCGATCTAAGTGAACTAACAGAAGCGGTTCAATGAAGCTCGGATAGCGGCCATCTTATCGACGATTCGACCATTATGACTTTACATCCTTGCCTAGTGTACTTCGGCGCGCTGGCTGAGGCGGGCCGGCGGGAATACTCCGCCATGGTCTTTATTTCCCTGCGGGGCTGTGAGCTTGGCCTCCTCCAGCAGCTTAGCTTGAAGGCCAGGCCCGGGTCTTTAGCAGCTCGGGTTCTAAGCCTGATCTTGACAGTGTTGGGCTTCTGTGCCTTCTAGGATGTCCTTCGGTGGACAGGGCTCATGAATTTATTCGTTGTCGAGGCGTAGTTCAGGCGGCACAACGTCTACAGTATATTTCGGTCGAATATATATCACGAAGTATTGTCTGGGATAGGATAGCGTTCTCTACTATTAGTATAGTACGGATGGCTTATGACTTAACTTCTACGCATTAGACAAGCTAGAGGGGTGTCTCTTATGCTTCTCGCCTACCTATAGCGAGGATGTGCTGATCAACTTGAATTGTTTAGATTGGAATGGCTTTTGACCGGGTGAAAATGGTTCCAGATAACCTGGAGATTTGTTGGAGGCTATTATCAGAAAAAAAGATTCGTCTTTTCAACCAATCAGGTCCTATGGTCTAATGGTTATGACATCAGACTCTGATACAAAATTAGAGTCACATCTGGTAATCCCGGTTCGATCCCGGGTAGGACCTCAATAATTCTTTTTCTTTTATCACCCGCTCGCTCTCGCTTATATTTTACTTCGTTGGTTGGTTGTACTTATTTATCTCTCTTCTCCCCGAGGGCTTTTTTTTTTTTACCGGTGCCGAAAAATAAGCATATCAACAAGACCTACTACGTACCTCAGCCAGCTATAAGTTCAACAGCACGTATGTATCTCCTCCAGAGTCAGCTTAACGGAGCCTCCCCCCCTTGCATGCTGTCGACAAGGCCGTCAGGCAAGTCGGCCGAGAGCTAAAAAGCAAAACCCTGCTGCGCAAACTCAATGGCAAGCCCCTTGATCGGTCTGGAGAGAACACGGCTTCCAGGAGAGGAAATCCAGAAGGGTCTCTGCAACGGTCTGGGCTTTCAAGCGGCTCACGTGGAAGTCTGAGCTTTTCGATCCACCTTCTGGAACCGTGCTGGCTAGGCTAACATTAGATAGTCCAGCTGTGCGCTTGTGGATTCCGGCAAAGGTCCACGACAGCCGATAGAGAGATAATCAATTACTATACGATGACCCCCTCTCGAGATCCCATGACCAACGACCACTGGCCTTCCTTTGGGTAATCTCATCACCTCATCCGGGACTCGTGCTTCATAAGTTCCGCTCCAGGCTGTACAACGTATGAACGCTGTATCGCCACGGCCATGAATCATGAGAGGTCCATGACGTCGGGGAGTGAATATTATCTAAATATGACATTATGTGCCTGATCCCCAGGATTTGGATAAAGTTGGCTGTGCTGTCGATACCTCCCTTTACAGGGTTGAAGCTCGACCGGGAGTGTGGGGAACATCATTCCCCGTCAAAGTCGGGGCCTTGGAGGCGACAGCAAAGGGATGAAACCAGAGGAAAACGCACAACTGATGAGCCCAGGATTGGCATTTCTTAGAGCGTTGCACAGGTCCGGTCCTCCCACTCCAGTCCCCACGGGTGTTGTGTTTCGCCGGAGGACTATTACACCGTGCACACCGAGCTGGACGGGATTTCCGTAGATGGTAATCCGAAGCGCTGGTAGTCGGTTGTCCTCCGATCGCTTACCAGATTCAGAACACCAGTTCCTGATGTATGGATGATGGATGGGGTCATGCATCCTCAAGCTGTCCATGTGAGCAGGAGAAAAAAAAAAGAGCAAAAAAAGGTACAGGATCTCCTAGGTGTCTCCTTGCCTCTCGCTGGTTACGCCATTTGTACGCGGCTTGTTGGGTGTAGCTTTGCGCGGTGCTTATAATTCCCTATTTATCCAACATCCCTCCTTCTTCAGTGTACAATATTTCCCTCTCTTGCTCTGTCTGTCATACTAGCCCTGCATTTATTCTCGCCCCCTCCCGTGTTACGACGCCTGTTCGAATTGATTGTCTTCCTTCCACCTTCACCTTCATCCTCACCTCCAATCGCCTGTGGAACACCGTAAGTTTACATTCACCAGAAGGACCAGATCTTCCTCCCCTTGTTGTCAATCAACAATCAACAATGCAGCGATGCAATGAATCAACACAATACAACATCAATTGGAGTAGAGGCTGACTGAATAGGCCAGCTCTATACGATCTCCACTTTCCCCGCCGGACTAGACACCGATTACATCTGACACCGTCGCAGTATTCCTGGAGAAGCTGCGAATTATCCCGGAATCCTCATTCACAGCAATATTGCCAGACCTTGTCTACCGAAGAGCCCGCGGACATATAAAGGAGAGCATCCCAGCTCCTCCGGACGACAGTCTTCCTTCCACTTCCCCAGGTTGCCTGCGATAATCTGGTGCTACCCCACCAAATCTTAATCTCCGACGTCATACTTTCTTTCCCCTGCCGCTGATCTCCAGCTGTTTTCGCCATGCAAAGTACGTATTCTTTCCTGCATTCGCTATTTCGAGATTTGGCCAATGCGCCCCTCCACCCTGCTGTCACCCCCACTCGGCCCTTCCCTTAGCCCCAGTCATTATGAAATCAGAATTGCTCCACCAAGTACACCGAACAACGCGCTTACTTCTCTCAGCCAAGCACTTTTTCTCAGATCCGACCCATCTGGTCCAGACGGCCCTTAACTCGCTCACACTCACAAACCCTTCTCTCGCATTTGATCGCCAGAACAAGATTGTCTTCCGCCGCCCGGAAGTTGTCAAGAAGTCAAAAGTCGCCATTGTCTCCGGTGGAGGTTCCGGTCATGAACCCGCTTTTGCTGGATATGTCGGCCAAGGTCTCTTAGATGCCTCTGCGGCGGGGACAATCTTTGCTTCCCCGTCCGCGGAGCAAGTCCGCATTGCTGCGATGGACCGTGTCAACAATGAGCAGGGCGTGCTTATTATTCCCATGAACTATACCGGTGATGTTCTGAACTTTGGTATGGCTGCGGAGAAGGCCCGCGCAGCTGGTATAAAGACCGAGTTCTTCGCGATCAATGACGATGTCGGTGTTGGTAAAGACAAAGGTGGTAAAGTTGGCCGACGTGGTATTGGAGGTGGCATCTTTGTCCTGAAGATTGTCGGGGCTCTAGCAGAGGCTGGGTGAGCTACACTTCTACTAAATTGCCAAAGCGAGACTAACAACTTCTAGTGGCTCTCTAGAAGAAGTGTACAAGACTGCCCAGCTAGCAAACGACAACCTCGTCTCCGTCGGCTCCTCTCTAGAGCACGTCCACGTCCCCGGAAGAGATGTTTCAGAGGACTCCGTCCCCGAGGGTGAGGTCGAAGTCGGCATGGGCATCCACAACGAACCCGGCTCTCACCGAGTCAAGGCCACACTCGTCGAGCTAGTCAAAACCATGCTCCTCCAATTACTAGACCACAACGACCCCGACCGGGCCTTCATCACTCGCAAGCCAGAGGACAAGTTCGCACTGCTGATCAACAACCTAGGAGGCGTCAGCACACTAGAGCTATCAGGAATAACCGACGAAGTTTACCGGCAGCTCGGCGCAGACTACAAGATCAAGCCCGAGCGCATCATCCAGGGCACATTCCTCACCAGTCTCAACGGTCTAGGCTTCAGCGTCTCGCTACTCAAGCTGGTCGACACTGGGCTCGGCGCCGGCAAGTCCTTCCTTGAGCTCATTGATGCCCCCGCAGAGGCCGTTGGCTGGGCTGCCCCTATCACTCCGGCTACCTGGGAACACCGCAACTCGCCCCCCGTTGAGCTGAAGCAAGTCAAAACGGGCGAGCAACCACCCAGTAACGTCAAGCGTACGTCGTCTTCTCCTTGATTTTAGCCATAACCAAACTAACGAGAACAAACAGTCGACATCTCCACAATTCGCAAAGTCCTCGGCTCCGCCCTGGAACGCATCATCTCCGCCGAGCCCAAAATCACACACTACGACACGATTGTCGGCGACGGCGACTGCGGCGTAGGCCTCAAGCGCGGCGCCGAAGCCGTCCTCTCCCTCCTCAACGACTCCTCCGCAAACCTCAACGACGATGTCATCAACACAGTCAACCGCATCGTCGGCGTCGTCGAAAATACCATGGACGGCACATCGGGTGCCATCTACGCCATCTTCCTGAACGCGCTCGTCCACGGGCTCCGCGAGCAGGATAAGGGCTCCGAAACTCCTGCTGGTGTTGATGTTTGGGGGACCGCGCTGAAGTACTCACTTGCTGCGCTGGGGAAGTATACCCCTGCGAAGCCTGGTGATCGCACGATGATCGATGCGCTCGTTCCGTTCTGTGAGACGCTTGTTGAGAAAAGGGATGTGCATGCTGCTGCCAAGGCGGCGGAGGAGGGCACGGAGGCGACAAAGCATATGAAGGCGAGCCTTGGAAGAACGGTCTATGTTGGTGGGGAGGAGGAGTGGGTTGGGAAGATCCCTGATCCTGGTGCGTATGGACTCAGTGTCTTCTTTGAGGGGTTGGCGAGCGCCCTCTAGGCAGAAGAGGCTTGCTTGCACTTTGCTCTTGAACTCGAGTCTCAACGCGGGTTTTCGGCGTCATTTCCGGTACATAGTATAATTTAGGTAGCTTATGGGTTTCCTCGTATTTCATAGCATAATTGATGATGATGACATGCCATGACTTTTCTTCTCTAACCTCCCATTCTCTTCAATCAGTACACTTACCAAAAGTACACCTACTCTATCTAATCAAGTACACCCGCACAGGTAATATCCCACATCCTCTCTTATTACTATAACCCACGACCGAATCCAACCAGACCAGCTCTCAGCGGGTTCGAAATACGTCGCATGAAAGCCCTCAAGTGGGTCGTCGGCACCAGCCCGTGTATCGTCTTCAGGGTTATCTCGGTATCTCATTTCATGAGCCCTCTCGCGAGTGGACATCTTCTCGTTGAGAGTACTCTCACACGTTTCGTCGCCGGGATTGTATTCCATGCTCGTGTACCCAGGCTCATCGCGATGCGGATATTCTTCCCCCTTTTGGTATGCGGCGAGGGACTCGATGTCGAGGGAGAAGTCACCCGATTGTTCGTCGAAGAAGCTGCGCTCGCTGTTAGTGACTGAGCGGAATTCATGAACAACATGCGGCTGACACCAATGAACGACACAAACATACCTCCTAACCATGAACCCAACCCTCTTGATCCCTCCAGTGTCCAGCTTCTTCTTCAAATGGTCAGGACAATCCCTCCCGCGATACGTCGCTCGAAAATCACTCCATTTGAAGTAATGCGTGCCGTCCGAGCTAGCGGGACTCTTTGCGTGAAAGTCAACCTCCCAACAAACCGCACTCTGCTCCCTGCCATCCGGCCTCTTGTTCGGAATATTGTCTTTCAGAAGGAGGGTGTACTTGATCCCTTTCCCATCATTGATATCAGACCGCGCTCCAGCTCCAGGCCGGACTCTAAGCACGATTCCATCATAGTCTGACAAGTCCCAATTCAGATCCCCGTACGTCTGTTGTGAGGCGAAGCCCGCGCCGCCGAGGGTTGTTGTGTCGAGGGTTCCGGAGAAGCGCGCTGTGTTGCTGTTACTGTCGCCGTTGCCGGTGGGTGTTAAAGTTGAGCGGGAGGAGCCGCCGCGAACTCTATCGTCGAC